TTTCCTTAATCTCCAGAACGGAGTTAAAAAGATGAAATTTAAGACCAGACATAAATAGATTAGGGGCAGGAGGCCCGATTAACTATTAACCGATTAACCGGAAGTCACGTTATTTAAATTCAAAAATTCTCCTTTCCCCGAAAGGAGTTAGATAGGTGGGTGGCACGACTCTATTGCTAACAGGAAAAGTATGATGCACGCGGGCAAAACACTACAAATTTGAGGTGGAGAGCTTATATTTTAAATTAAATAAATTAAAATTATTATGGTAAGATCGTGCAGTCGTAGAGAGTTGTCGATTTTATTTGGGCAGTACTCGCAGTTGTCTGGTTGTATCTTTTAAGTATTCGATATGTTTCTCTTCGGGATCTCTTTCTGCTTTTGAAATAGTGTATATACGGATACAATAAATGCATTCCACGCCGCTTCGCTCTATTGGTGCGAGATATTAAAATTTTCTTTGCAATTTCGACGGATAAATGAAGAGTAAATCGATGCGAAATCACAAACATAAACTACCGAAAGGCGATAAAACTTTAAACTTCACTTTTTAAACGATTTTTTTTTGTTTTCCTCTATCTAACTTCTCTAAGAAGTTTACATATAATAATAAGTATAAAATTATGAGAAAATTTAGGTAAATATTTTATAAATTTAAGCTTCTTATTATATACGAAATGAAGCTTCGATATTAATATTAAACTCAAAAATATTATCATCACTCTTCAATATCCGCTGTGGTATGAAAATTAGCGGTATTCTACTCCGGGAGCTTCGTCTTCATCGCATAACTTTAAAAATATTTGCAATGAATCCGCTTTGTATTTACAGTTAGGATTTAAAATTACGTATTGATCCGTAAAAATGTGGCGAATCTTTTTCTACATCCTTAGATGTAGGCCTATATAATCGAATTTCTTAAATGTAATAAAGTTAATCACCCGAACGTCCTATAAATCGAAAATGGATATTTTTACTTTTCCGGCTGATACATATAACAGAGGGAAAGTGTGGCGATCGGTCAAAAAATTACCCCCAATTTTTTGACTCGGAGAATCTCGAAACGTCGAGAAACGCAAAAAATCCGAGGGTTTTTCTGTATGTACGGATGCTAGATTATATAAAGTATATACTCGTGTATGGTAGAAATTCTAAACTTTCTTAAAATTTTTAATAGAAGAAATGACGTCGATGAAATCCTGGAAACGTGCCACGGAAAATCTTTCCTAATATAAAATTTATAAGTTAGAAAATTATTATTTTTTTTTATTTGGCTTGTGACGGTAACTTTTAAAAATCTAGTCTACTTATACAATTTATTGAATTTCATTTCTAATAGGAGCTTGTCTGGGTTTTAAACACTTACGTCTGCGTAAACAAATATCTCCAGACACTGTTTAATTGAATTTTCTATAGAATACTTTCTATTGAGTGTCAAGTTTTTGCTAAAATACGTTACGACGAAAGAAACACTAACCCTGTTCGAACATTTTTTGAAGCAATACTGAAAGTCTCTGTTTCTATTTTAATGTTTAATAAACAGTCCCTTCGTAGAGCCAGCCGAACAAAGCTACGCTCGTCGAGTAAGATTTTTGGCAAGTATTTGTTGAAAATAATTTTATTTGTTAAGCAAAAAATCGAGTAAAAATTTGATTCACCTTTTTCAAACAAATATTTCCATTAGTGTATATTAAAGTCTTTTTCCGGGTCGATATATACAGTACTACACAACTTGTTAAGTGTCTTTGTAATACAGACACTAATTGAAAGACACATTTGCTCCCGTTTAGCGGGGTTGAGATCCTTAGATAAAACCTTTCAACTAGAAAACTTTTAGCTTCACTGCTTCGAAGAGAGACGTTTTTACTTAAGCTTTCTATAGCAGAACTTTTCAGATAAAATTTAATAATATCAACTTTCATCGATTCTTTCATGGAACAAAGATTACTTCGATAATGTTTAACCTTAATTGCAGTTTCGTTTGATGTTTATAAACTTATAATTTCACTTAAAAGAGAAGTGTTAACGACAAAAACTTTCCCATTTTGTCGTCAACACTTGGAACGTTTTAAATGCCAAGAAAGTGTATTTTTTATTTTTATTTAAATAGAAATATTTCGATAAACTAAGATTAACTGCGATTAAAGCCAACTATAAGTCGTAGGAGTTGAGATGCTTTATTAAATTTTAAGTGGATTATTATTATTATTATTTATTGACGTGAGTTTTAAGTTAATTATATAAGTTTAATTATTATCATTTCTCTTAATTAATTACGCAAACTGGAGCCAATTTCTACTCCTTTAAGCACATTTTTAAGATTATATTTTTGGTATAAAATCTTTTTCTTCTTTCCTCTTATTAATATAATCGGTAATTTTTAAGTCATACATAAATGTGATTTATTCTAAAGCTTATTTATCCCATTGCAGTGAAAGTCTGTAGGCTAAACTGAATAATTTTGAAAACATAGCGCAACTTTTTTTATAATAAAATATGTACTGGCTAGTGACTACATAACCTTTACGATGGCCTAATTTTTAACTTTAAAAAGAAATTTTTAAAACTGTATTGTTTTACACTTCTAGTATTAGATTATTTAACAATCGCTTACTTTGCATTGTGCCAAGGGGTCCGATATTATTCTGGAGCCATAGGCTCCAGCTCCCATTACGTAGCCTGGAGCCATAAGCTCCAGCCTTATTAGCCAGTACGTAAATCCGTCGATAAACATATTATGACATAGTTCCAAACAATCGGGGGAGTCTCCCGAACTGGCAGACCGAATGACTCGAGGTTATTCCTGTTGCGGTTTTCTTCTGTTCTGTCTTTAACCAGACGAGTGAAGTTTTACGACCTGGATGGCAATCTACTCCGCGGGTTACGGAGTTACACGTTCAGTGTTTTTATTTTCCCGGCTGTTATATACAGAGTGTCCCAAAAAATGTACTCGCTCTTTAACTGGCCATTACTAATAAATTAAGTTTTGATTTAGGTGTTTACTGACATAGATACAAGTCTAACAAGTTAAAGAAAATTTAATTAAAATATTGCCTTCCAAAATCTTTATGAACTGTATCTTCTATTTCTTGTATTGGACTGAGAAAGTAAGGGTTTTTTTTGAGATACCCTCTATAACAGAGGGAAAGTATGGCGATGGGTCAAAAAATAACCCCCAAGGTTTTTACATTTTTTAGACTCGGGACACCTTAAAACGTCGAGAAATGTGGATGTGTGTGTGTGTGGGGGAGGAGCACGATTTAGTTTCCCTCTTTAAAGCTTAATAACCCCTGCGCTTTTTGTCGAAAAGTTTTGAAATTTTGCGGATAGGTTTGTTTTATTAGAGGATCGATGCTATTAAATTTTGGTGGTTAAAGGTCGAGGGTTCGGGGAGATAAAGGGGGTCGAGTGTATCTCCCCTAGGGTCGGACTTAATGACGATTTTACTAGTTATTAGCGTTTACAACTTTTTATAAAACTCATCCCTACTTTGAAAATTAAGTTTTTTGCCACTTTATAATAGTTTTAAAAAAAGTGTTTTTAATAAAATACGATAACAGATGGCGCCTCCAAATGTTGCGGGGAAAGTTAAGCGACTGATGGCTGGATTTTTTCTAGCTAGTTCTCTTAAACATTACGACTAGTTATATACCGACTATAAAAAAAATCGAGAAAATAACGAACCGCATAAAAGATGTGGAGATTTTCATAATAAAAAGTGAGATTTAAAAATAATATATAATGAAATGTAAACAATGCCCTTAATTTGGCTTGGTTGCAATCCTCCTTACGGACGTTTATTAGAATTGATTACAACTCTTAATAAAAGTTAATCAGGAAAATTAAATTTTAAATGTGTTCATAAAGAAATTCGAAATTAATTTATTGTTTAATTAATTATGCCTTTTATTGAATAATGTCGCCCCGTATTTTATTTTTCTAATATTAAATTCTTATTTGCTCCGGTAGAATATCGCTTGTTATTGCTTTCTAACAATCTTACGCTATCGTATTTCCTTATTAATCGAGATAAACATAAATTTCATACACGCGTAAACATAAGAATACTCTAAAGACTAATTAAGTCTTCGATAAGCCCTAATACAAATAACTTTTAAATTATTAGAAACGTTTAATCTAAAACCTTACTAAACAGCTGCTACGTACCGAAAATACGAGATACAAATTTAGATACGCGATTTCAATAAATTATTATATAATTATAATTATTTTTACGCTCTCAAGTTTTCATTCTTTTTCAATTTTAGTAGTTACGAACTCGTATTGTTTATCCGCTCTGGTATATAACGCATTATTAAGAGGCTGTAAATTCTTAGTTTATAAGTTTTCATCGTTATTAATTTATTTATAATAAACAGACTTCTGTTTAGTTCCATTATAGAGTACGATAATAATTTAGATAGATGCAAATTTTTTCGTTTTTCTGTCTGGCAGATGTTACGTACAGTACATCACCCGCTGCCCAATAACTGAAAATAGAAACGAGAAACATCTGATATTTAACATATTTTTTATATAAACAAGTTTAGTACTTAGATAATTATTTTTAATATTATACGTGATTAAATTTTTTTTATTAATAAGACTAAAAAAACGGGAATGAAAATCAGCTGTAAGGAATGTCGTGTAGAGAGGTCGACGTTGTACGCTGCCTTATTACGGCTCGTTTTGACTCCCGTTTTATTAGCATTTTTTATCTTCCGATTGACTACGAGACAATGACTCATTTACTATAAGATAAGATTTATATACCCTAAACCACGAATGTTATGTCGAAAATGCAGAGAACTTTCAATATTTGGGCTGGTTGGTTAGGGGCTGTCCATAAACGACGTCCACACCGGAAGGGAGGGAGGGGGTGGTGACGAGGGGAGAGGAGGAGTCGAACTTCGGGACATCCGTTATATTTCATTAAATGTTACACAGTTTATCACTTTAAAAATAATAAAGATTTCGAAGGGCAGTTTTGTTGGACGTAGAAAGAGGGGAGAGGTTTGTGGAAACTCGGACAAACTGAGACGAGGGGTTAGTAAAAATTTCGAGAAACACGCGGACGTAATTTATGGATAACCCTTTAAGGATAGTTTTTTATCTGACGTAATTGCCAGGAAACAAAGCCTTAAGCTATGGTAGACAACTCGTCAGTTTTGATTCCCGGGTTGGAATCCGTTTGATAAAGTTTGATTTTTGTTCCAACTACTAGTCGAGCTATTTTTGCGTATGGAATCTGGCAACCAAACAATTCGTATTATAAACAGTTTGTCTTGGGAAGTGTTGGAATAGGTAGGAATATTTTACAAAACTAATGGCAAAATACTTCGGTAAGCCCAACTGTTCTCACTCGAAACACAACAAAAAAAAGACAACTTTCGTGCCACGTGACGTACAATTGGATATCTCGCGCATCCCTGGCCGCAGAAGTAAACTAACGTCCAATTCTGGGAATATCTTACGCCGTTATTTACTTTCGTTGTATTTAATTTCTGTTTGCGTAAGTTTTTGTTTGCAAAAATTCCTTCGAAAATCACCATCATCGTTTATTAAAAGTTATTCGAAATGTTTCTAGTCGCATTTCGAGAAGGTTTTATTACATAAAAATTCTCTAAATGTTGTAATGAATGACATTTATTAATCTCTAAAATGTACACATTTAACAGACGTTTCAATAGAATTAAAAACATTTTTTTGTAACTTTAAAACTTTAGATTTATTAAATTACAATTTAAACTTTCTTAATTACCGATTTGTAACGATTTAAACAGAAAAAAAAAAGTACAACTTAGTGTGACGTCACGAGTTTTCCCGAGAGAATAAATATAAAAATGAATTTTCATCCGTTTAAATTGTAATTAAATTAAAACAGTGTACGTAGATCGGGCGCGAAGTTCCGGAGCGGCTGTTTTTAAAAAAACAATCGCGCCTTGTTTTACGTAACGACGGCGGTAACGATTGGTGTTTTCGAAAAGGAGATAAAAGACTTCCGCCTCGACAGTCCTTCCAGACAGTCACGTGATTGACCTTGAACCGACTTCCAGGTACGATAAACGTGTCTGCGCGGCCGTACGGCGCGAATTACGACGCAGACGGTGGCTTCTGTCTCGAATTTAAATTTCCTTCGAAAAAGTATTGTTTCCCGGGCGTCGGCCACTTAAAAAATATTATTTAAATAATTTAAATTGCTATTAAATTTACATTATATTTATATTATATTAGAATATATAGTAATGATCACTGTATTTCGTTAGAATATTTTCCCTACCGCGACTTCGTTTTAAACGTTTAAAGTCTCCCGTGTAATAATTGTATTGGTAATAGAACACAAGAATTATCGCGCGCTCTAACGTAACAACGCTTTTCCTCCTCGTTCGTTTGTAGAAAAAGGACTTTTCTATTTGAGAATGGTTCGTTCGGTATAAGTCGAAGAGAATAGGCGAAAGACCGGCTATTAACGCGTTGGAATACGTAAATATCGGGACGCACGCAACGCTCTACCCCGGCTTTGTCTGGTAGACATAGGTAAACAGTTTTACTAATTTTTGCGAAGGTCTAGTTTATTTTGGAAGTATCGGGCAATAAAAATAACTGGTCGGAAAGTACACGAGATGCGTTCGCTTCGCATTTTAAACGCCAGTTTTATCTTCTAATACGGACAATTAAAATGTAACTATGTACACTTTTATGTATCTTTAAACGGTGCGCATTTAAGAGAAGCGCAGGAAATAAAATTCCTACATTCTTAAAACACTTTACGTCGGAATTTTGAATTACGGATACCATTTATCTCGGCATACTCGATCCCGGTCGTTCTTCTAGGAACAAATCCACAAAAAATCAATTTTTTATCTTTAATTAATTTAATTAATAATTATCCCCTTAAGACCATAACCCGACAACGTTTAGTGGCGCCATCTGTTATCGTATTTCATTTTTAACTATTAGGCTATAAAGTGGCAGAAGAAAGCTTAATTTTACGAAAAATTTGAAATGCTTATAACTAGTAAAGTCGTCGTTAAATCTGACCCTAGCCAAGATACACACGACCCCCGTTATCTCACCACCCCGCTACCCTTCCTCTAATAAACAAACCTGTCCCTGCAAAATTTCAGAAATTTTCGTCAAAAATCAAGGGAGTTATTAAAGCTTCAAACGGGGCGAACAAAATCGTGTCCCCCATACCCCGAATGTTTTTCGCATCTCTCGACGTTTTAAGGTGTCCTAAGTCCAAAAATGTCGTTATTTTGACCCGTCGCCATACTTTTCTATTACGTATTACAGCCGGGAAAGTAAAACGTGTGTGTAACCCTTGGCAGTTAACGTTTAAAAAATAAACAAAACAATAAATTTAACTGCCAAGAATTACAAATGTCTCGTTACTCTCGTTCTGTTTCTCTAGTCAAATTTAAACTTTCCGCGTCGTAAAGTCTTATCCCGACGTTCGTACGGTCGACGAGTTACAGTTTAAACCAGAACTTTTATTTGAATAAATTGTAAAGAAATTAATAAGGTTTCTCGTACAAAATTCTCGATTATTTTCCGACAAATAAGGGAAGCCTTCGATCGTTACCCGTCGCTTATTAAACTTTTTACCATTTTTATTCGTAATAAAGGATTTTTCTGTAAATTAAATGTTTCTACCATCGTTACGATGTTTAAATATTATACCGTAGACCGGAAAGCTGTAGGTTATTGTACGGTCGCGTTACTCTGTACTATCGAATCTCGAAATTAATTATAAGGCACGTACGGAGATTACGCGTTTACTCGGTCGTGTAATCCTATAAATCCTTAATGTGTTTATAAACTATTGTACGACATCTCTAAATATTCGTATTTTAAAGTGTTCCGTCTATCTTAACCATCTCTTTCGGGCTGTATTTCTTCTACTACTTTACCCTGGCTTAAAGCTTCTTTTTAAAATTTTATTTCGCATTTACAGGCTTTGGAATTAGCCTTTCGGATCTAATTAATATCCCCAATGCAGTTTTTCTATTTTCGGCTCTAATTTTAACAGCTTAACTCTTCTAGTGTTTTAGTTCCATTTCCAGACTTTAAAAAACTGAAGAGCTACACTAAAAAGTAATCTACTTACGCAGTCGTCTTTTAATTTTAAGGCTTTCGATAAAGTATCTTTCCACTTTTTATCCATGTTTTAAAGAGCTCGAGGATTTTTATTATTATTTCTAATTTTAATATTTATTTTTAATTTGTCAAATATTTATTATTATTTTTTCCTTTTATTAAGGCTCTCGTTACTCCTTTTTTCTAATTTACAGCCTTAAAACGAAGATAAAAAGTAGAAAAATCTCCGGGAGTCTTAAAATAAAGGCGTCCGAAACTCGTATAAAACGTTTCTTTTTAAAACACGAGAAATTTTTTTTCATATCGTCATTATAAATGGCCGCGCATGGCTTTAATTCGGTACTTGTGATTCTTACTGACGTTTTAAGTTAAATTACCTCAATCGTGTAATGCGTAAGAATAATTTAATAGAGTAATTTCCCCGTAGAGTTTACTGTTCTGTGTGGGATAAGCCACAAGTTTTAATACCATACGTCAAAATGTCAATTCCCCATTGAAAGCAAATTACTCCGCTAATATTTCTCCGACCCATTACAAACGTTACTCGTTTTTCGCGAGTTTCGTTCGATTTAAATAACCCAAGAAAATTAAGATACAAATTAGTCGTATCAATTAGGCCTATGTATGATTTTCGAGATAATACGACACGTTTGCAGTTACTACATCTACTGAACTCGATAGAACAAAATAGTTGGATTAGTATATCAATTGTGTTTCTATAAAACAAACTAAAGTCACCTTAACGAGTATAATAAAAACACTCTGGCAGTTATAAACTATATTAAAATCAATTATGCAAAAAAGCTTCTTCCACTTGGCAAATTACTTTTATTTTTTCGAATCGCGTAATAAAATTTAAGAATTTCGGCAATTGTAAAATTAAATCAACGGCCGATAACTTTCTCCTATAACGCGTTAAATGCGTTATTCTATAAAATTAATCATGGAAATTTATTTGTCTCGTTGCAGCCTCCATAACCCCGGCCAAAGCTCAAGAGGCATTGTCCGCCCTTCGATCTTTTGTGTCGATGTTTGTGCATTCACCCGAATCGTATCCCAAAGCAAATTTATTCCTTTACGTCATTCTGAAGGATTGCAGATTTAACGTGGACGAGGCTTACGGTAGACTAATGGAAGCGGAAGCGGACATGAGAACCTACGCCCTGCAAGAACGAACCGTGGTCCAGCCGATTATTAACACGTACCGGCCTAGCGTGCCGCAGCAGAGTATGTCGGGGTCGTCTCTGTTCTATCCCCCCTTGGGATGCCTCCCCTACTATCGCTGTCCTCCGGATATGAACGGCAACGGTACCGTGGCTAACTGTCACTCGCTGGCTACAACCGGCGTCTACAACTATCACAATCTGATCCGCGACCGAAGCGCGGATTATCCCCTAGCGGAACGCGAAGACACCGACGGCGAAAATCGCAATTTGGGCCTGCCCGGTCTGACGCACGGCATCGTGCCCATCGGATATCACACGGCATTCGCCTCCGGTCTGGTGACGGGTGGCAGGAGCGCAGAAATTAACTCTCCGGACACTTAAGGGTCGGTAGGTATCGTGTTAAGTGTTTTAAGTTGCGAAATGTTCCGCTTATTTATCTATTATACACACTTTGACTGGGCTATAAACGCCTGCTAGATAGAGATAAACCTAAGCGCTGGTTAAACTGTATGCTCGAACTGCGCGTAAACGGAAAGGAGTTTACGCCGGTATTTCGTCGCACTTTCCTATATTATACCCTTGTCATTTGCTCTAGAAACCTTACGTTCGAGTCTGTGTAGATTAAATGACAGATTAATTCGTCATCTTTAGGTACGCTGTCCAAGATAAAGAAAATAAGCGCTCGGCGGGGCAAGAACGTGCGGATGCCCCGCCGAGCACTAAAGACAGCGAGAAGGTCGTAAGCGCGACGTAGGCATTCTGGATCACGACCTAGAGCTAAGTCCAAATTTCCGGCTCTGCGGGTCACCCTTTCTGACTGCAAATATATTTTAAATTCTTTATCCCGGGCTGGAGACGACGATATTTGATCTTTCGGGTATCGCCTTGGCTTCAAAGTAAAGTAAATTTTGGTAGAAAGTGAAAGGTATCGAAGTTATTAAACGTCGGGAAGGAAACGAAGGATAAAAAGAAAATATAGTAAAACCTCTATTTAACGGACCAAGTTCGTTCTTATCTTATGTGAAAATAAACACTGTTAATTTTTAAAATACTTATTATAGCCTATACAAGTAAATTAAAAGGTTATTTTTGAAATCCAAGAGTCACCGCCGGTAAAATGTATTTTCTAAAACATGTTCGTTTATTTCTTTCGATTTCGATGGTATACTGTATATTACAATCTCAAAACCATGTGAATACATAAGCAGTTACAAAAAAGTTTTGTATATACATACATATAGAAAACTTTTCTGTGAACTTAAACATTTGTTATGTAATTAAAATTGAGAAGTATCTACCTAAGCAAAATGTAGTATTGTTTTGTAGCAGTTTCGTGGAACTTCTCCCACCCTGTAGTAAATCACTCAAAATGTGCGAACCCTTGGTCAGGTGTCAGAGGGGTGACATAACGTACACCCATTATGTAAACACATTGTCCATCTGGTGACCACTTGCTCTGCTGCCTTCGAACTGATCAGATGTGAAAATAAAGCTCTCTTTTTGTTACCGTTAATCTTAGATGTGTAAGTCATTTATGTTTGTGTGTTGGGAGACTATAAATTAAATTTGTCAACTTTTTAAAAAAAACACGCGCATGGGAAAAATCTACTTTATTTTATAACGGACACCCCCTCTACCGAATTATTCCGTTAAATCGAGGTTTTACTATATTCTCAAACTGCACCGTACGAAATGAAACGAGGAAAGCGTTATTGTACTAAAAGATTCGATCCCACGTCGTCGAAATTATTATTTTTTGCTCTGAGATCAAACAGATTACAGAGGCGACTTTAATGGGTTAGGTCATACACGAGTATTCGTCTGCAACAGGTTTTAAACTGAATAATTCCTGACAAAGGTGGAGTGTATCTACTTCCCTTCCTGCACTTCTTTGCGTAAACAACTGGATAATCGAACCTTCCAAAGACTTATAAACTGCGCGCACTATTCTCGGAGGCCCGTTTTTCGGAAAAGTGGGTTTATTATTTGGACAAGGATATGTTTGTGTTTAGTTAGGTTACTCGCCAAGTTGTTAGCAACGACGAGGATAGCGATTCAACCCGAGACGACGACGGAGAATGCATTTATTCCAACCATTTATTTTCGAAAGTTGCCGCTGGAGGAGGCTGGATTCGGTGAAACAAATGCAAAAATCAGGTTCACGATGAATGAAGAATTCGACTGTAAACTTTGTTTGAATCAAACACTAATTTATTCATTTGTGTGGAAGGTCGCTTAAAAAGTTTAATTACAGAGTACGATTTCAAACGTTCTATTCATTTATTGCCGACCGATTAGTTTCCTAGTCATAATAAAGGTTTTCTGTCGATAAGAGTATTGTAGCTTGTTCCCAGGCCGAAATACATCCCATTTATCCGACTGATGCGTCCTACTTTATACAACCGAGTGGTAAAATTCGAATTACCTAGAAAAATGTATTTTTAACTGTTAATACATTTAATATAATCATTCTTAGCACATACTATACTTTAATATCCCCGCGACCACTGCTTTTAGGGGAGGTGTACGGATATCAAATTCCTTGGGTATCTCGTTTTACTTAGTTAACGTCTAAGTCACACCTCACACTAGCGAAACAGAAAACTCGTCACTTCTTTTTAACGTTTCGTACTTATTCTAACGTAACTTAAGTAACTAATTATTAATATTTGTTTATCTTTGATAGGGATGGAAGTGCCTTAAACACGTTTAAGAAGGGATATAATAAGGAAGAAGAGAATATCTACACTTGAATACAAATTGTGATAAATATAACGTACTCTTATTCCATCGATATTGATAACGAGTATATTTAAAATAATAAAAAAAAAATAAGGATCGACGACTAGAAAATCAAAATTAGAAATATGAATAAATAATTGTAACGTACTTCGTTAAAACTATATACGTATTAGAAATGAATCAAAAAACATGAAAAAGTTATGGGTTTTTCTCTGTCTTTATGAGCCTATATATCACTATTTGTGTGTGTTAACAAAGTGTTATTTTAAATTTGGTAATTTGCTGTGATAAATCGCAAAAAAGCAAGTAAACACACAGAAAAGACACTAAAAACTATAAAGAATGTATTTAACGTCACAGCGTTCATGTTACGGTCGATATCGTTCTTCGTTGTCTAAGTAGACCCCACGAGGGAGGTGCAAAATTTAAATTGCTCATTCTGTATACAGTTTAAAATAGTTATACGTAACTTAATGTCATTCGAGGATACTAGACAAAATTCCTTCCTCCTCTTTGTTTTCTTACACTACGACGCGACGTATGTTGCCAGGATGATTGTGGCAATCATCCTGGCAACAACGACGGTTTCTTTTCCCGTATGTTTAAACAAGAAGTCGTGCATTTAAATTATATTCTTGACCCGAATTTTCAGAACCCAGTTCCGGTTTTCGAGATAAAGTTATCGTTTTGCAAAACACACAAATATGCCAATGGTAAAAGGACCGATTTTCATACCTTAAAATACGTAATTGTAATGAAAGGTCTACGAGAATGACGGACGACGATGATCTGTTAGAATTTTAATTATAATTTATCTCGAAATACCGTAATTAAATTCTTAATTTATTATACTTTCTTCTCTAATTATAATAATAAAAGTAATTACTGTATGAAAACATTATTATTCCAATCTCTAAAGAAGTGTCTGTGGAATTTTAAAAAATGTTTCTGCAAAGAATCCTGTATTAAAAAGTGATGTTTCCGCTATGTAAATATTGGTGACGATGGAAGTTTGTAAGAAATATTCTGAGTTTTTTAATAAATTGATTTGAAGTTAAACTAATTTTAAGACTACTTTGTAACTTATTTAAAAAAGGATAATGTTTAGAAAGCATTGTGGGGGAGAACGACACTAAATAATACATCATTCCCCTTACGCTAAAGAGCGTTAAATCGAACAAATACCCGATTTTGTTAAATTTTTACCCAGATTTTCCGCTAAATCGCCTACTTTAAATATTTCCTTGCACATTTAAATTCAGGTTTCTGAAATCAGCAAAAAATATGAATAATAGCGAAATGTTTTCTGGTTTTCACGCTTTAAAGTCACTTTTTCAATTAACACACAATTAAGCACTATGATTTATAAATTACAATTTTTAAACAGTTTATCTCTCGTGTTATGCGCTTCTTGTCTAGTCTTGCGTTCAATTATACGAGTAAAAGAAAGACACACTTTAGAAATACTTTTTATTCCTTTGAGAATGCATTTCGGAAAATTATGTCCCTTAAATTTCCCTAACCCCTCAAAACCCCCCTTTTTCGACCCTCCCCTTAACATCATTCACACCCACTATCTCTCTCCTACCTCGAGACGATGCCTTTCTGTTGTATCCTGTTACACAAGATGTAAATGGGAAAGGTTATCATCACATCGTGTACAACTCTACTGTAAGTTAAAACAATTTTCTTATGTTTTTTCTATTTTACGGTGCACTTTCTTCACTCCATTCTGCCGTTCTCAAAATGTTTTCTATCGATCTTACCGTAATCGAGATCACGTGTTTCCCAAATTTTATAGTCTTGTCTCTGCAGTGCAGAGGCAAGACTAAAATTTGGGAAACACGTGGAAAATTTGGGGTGTTTTTCCAACAGTACGTACCATACCGTTATGTCCAATCTTTTTACATATATGTAGTTTGTTTTCCCTTTTGTAAATCACTTTCCAATTTATCATTGTTTTTTAGCTTATACCTGTTAACCGTATCAGTCTAATGTCACAACTCCCGCATTTCTCATAACCCGTGTAAGTTTCCTGTTGTTCTTTTACAAATCTGTAACATCACCATGTTTTTGTGCAAACTTGTATACATTATGTTAACTTGTATGTAAATATTTTTCCCTATATAGCTGTAACACACAGAGTTGAAAAGGGACATAACATACCGGTAATTGTCCAAAATGCATTCTCAAAGGAATAAAAAGTTTTCCTAAATTAATAAAGATATTTAACAAAACAATGGAGTCAGATAAATTGTCTTTACCCAATTGTACTATTCACTAGTACACGGAAAAATAATTCTCCTTTCTTTTCTGACTTTGGGGTGAAGTATAGTGTTACATAAAAATTTTTTTTTTCTCTTAAAGTTAACCCGTTTGTCCGTTTTTAATACCAGTCTACGGACTCGGAATCTTTTAAGCCTCCAGAAGTCAGAAAAGAAAGGAGAATTATTTCTCCGTGTACTAGTGAATTTGGGTAAAGAATTTTTCTAAAGTTTGTCCTCCTTTTCCCGATGGTATAATAAGTTTATCACTTTTTAAGGCAAGAAAAACCTACTTTTTTTACAACTACAGTACCTTTCACAGAAGTATGCGCAAAGAGAGAGAACGTACGAAAATACTTTATCATTCTAAATTGTAAATAATTCCGATAAAGTATAAACGCGCAATCTAAACACGAAAAAATCCAGTAACGAGTTGCTTAACTTTCCAGGCAAAATTTGGTGGTGCCATCTGTTAAAAATTAAAAAAATTTTTTAAATAAATATGATAAGTACTGTATTATAAAATGGCAAAAAGCTTAATTTTGAGGGCAAGGGTGGGTTTTTATTTTAAAAAAATTGTAAATGCTAATACCAGTAAAATCGTCATTAAGTCTGACCCTACTGGAGATACACACGACCCCCTTTATCCCACCTTCAATGGCCAAAATTTAATCGCGTCAATCTCCATAATTAACAAACCTCCCTGAAAAATTTCAGAGATTTTCGATGAAAAGCATCAAAGAGGGTGAACAAAATCGTGCCCCGCACACACTAGCATCCATACGTACAGAAGTTATCCCCGAATATGTTTTTCACCTCTCGACGTTTCGAGGTCCCTCCCCCGAGTCCAAAAATATAAAAACCAATGTATGATACACGCAGCACGCTCGAAATTTTCATTTAGGATGAAAACTCCAAGCAATAAAATAGGATAATGTAATAAAAAAAATTGATTAAAATTCACCGTATTTATAAAGGATAAATAAATTTCGTAAAGGAGGAATATCAAAGCTATAAGCTAGAAAATATAGTTTAATAGGCATTACCATAAAATAAAGAGAGAAACGTAAAACATAAAATACCAACCCAGTTACGCAACGTAACGAATTCGTGACGCCAAAAACTATTCTGTAAACGAAAGAAGTCCATTAACGAATTCGCTTTCCCTAATGAATTAAAAATGACAAAAAGTGCGTACAATAAATCGCGGGACGAATTTATGTATATTTTAGTAATCGCATAAAATTTATTCTATTTGATCGAGCCGTTTGTTTGTCTGACGTCTGATAATATATATACACAGCTACGATAGCATTAATCGATTCATTTCTGATAATAGAACACTAGACGACAATGAAAAGTGTTTTGCTTGGATATTTTCGTGTTACGCATTTCCATAGTTTACTTTTCCACCTTGTTTATCTTCCGTCTGGTTTCTGACTTCTCCATTTCTTAAATATTTTGTTTCCAACGCGATATAACTATTGATATATACAACGGCTTATGCGATTGCGTAACGCTCGTATAAAATTAAATATCACAACAGATGGTAGCACCAAATATTGCCGGGAAAGTTACGCAACTCGTAGCTTTCTTTTAGTGAATGAAGCGCGTCATTTAAAAAACAGACGTACGCTACGAACAATGGTTCGTAGCGTATGTCTGTTTTTTAACGACGGGAAGTGTCTCGGTTGAAAAAGACACTGCCGTCAACATACTTGGCATCACTAATGATAGTAATTCGGTGTAGTAATAGCGATTGCCCCGGATTAGCGGAGACAATACCCCTGTTATTCACGTTTCGTGTCTTTTTTGCCAAGTGTATTGTTTCAGTGATCGTTGCGTGATAATCCAGTTGTAGTTAGGAGCGCGAAGCGATTTCGAGTGTCTGGAGTACTACCATGTTTTACCGAAATCTTGGTTCCACCACGTTAATTCTATAGGAAAAAAAAAAACACGCGAACCGTTTAAAACAGTGTTTTTCAACCTGTGGGTCGCGACCGCCAGGAGGGTCGCAAAGCCTTATACGGGGGTCGCGGGTAAAAGAAAAAGACGAGTGTTTGTAGGTGCTACACTACAATAAATAAAAGTACAATTTCAGTGAGAAGCCTTTGCGTTTTTATTTTAAAGTACAATTGGTTTTTCGATCGATATTTAGGTCTCAACAGAAAGAAAATTAAATACGTAGTTTTTAAAATCACTGATATAGTTTTAATATGGCCCTGGGGGGTCGCCAGAACTTTTTTAACTTGTAAAGGGGTGGCGTATTCGAGAAGGTTGAAAAACACTGGTTTAAAATAACTCGGACATTAAAATAGATTTACGGCTTATTCTAACGCTGCGGAATGCTAGAAAGGGCACGTTTACGTAATTTAGGTGTGTGGGGTTAGCTACGGCGGAGTGTTAAGTTCAAAATAAACGTTAAAATATCGAAATTACGCGTTTGCAAACTTTTTAACTGGTAATCCTCCTTTTAGGGTACCGAAAAATAGCACGAGATGCCACGATTCTTGCCATTCTTTTCTAAGTGAATGAAAACGAGTCGAAAGCAAAACAATTGTTAATAAATAGTACAGTCAACCAACCGTTCGGAATCTCCGAGTCCATTTACTTGGCTGGAAGATTTCGATTCGGAAATCTTCCAGCCAGATCAAAACCTTAGCAATATGAATTGTTTAACGGTATCCGAGAAAAGAATCACAAAATAACAAAAATCTATAATATATTCGCCCATTAATATAGTATAGTATCGATTTTGTCGTAAATATAAAAATAAAGCAATATATTTTATAACCGAATTAATAAAGTCTCGTTTGCATTATCGACGTCCTGGCAATCCCCGACAATTCACTAAAATTTTTACTCGTTTCTACCATCGACAGACCTCGTCCTTCGACTAAAAAACGCTAAGGTTTTCACCATTCCCGTCTCTTCCTAAACTAATATAATTTAACTCCTTTTATGTGTAATATACTGTATTTTAACGCCAGACTGATTGCACGGAGGACAATTCTTAAAAACTACTTTTTATTATTAATACATTAACTCCTTTTATTACAAATTGGCGTATCGTTTTACTTTTGTTTCCAGAAATTTAGTGGGTCGTTAATTAAGATCTTCCGTAACTTAGCGAGTCATTAAGAGTGGTTTACGCGAAGATTCTAACCCGAGTCTTTTCTTCGAGTGCTACCGTTTGCATTTATTCCCTTATACCTTGTTAATAAATTCACTAAACCGAAACACTCGAAGACGTGGGTTCGGATCTCTACGTATAAAGATATGCAATTTAGTGGGTTACATAAAGATTTAAAAAGGAACGTAAAGAAATTGTAATCGCTTTTTTCGTGTGGTATCGATTGTGTTTGTCCATTTGTACCTTTTGATCTATTTGCGCGAATAGACAAATTCAAATAAAACCGCTCGAATAGATATGGCCCACGTCTA